CATAATGCCCCTGACGCAGTCTGACAGTCCTGATACAGGACCATCACGCGCTGGGATCAGGACGCTCCATTTTCCTTCAATCAGGAGCCACACCAGTGTTCTGGAAACCCAATGTTCTTAGGTGGCTTGTGGGTCAACAGAAACTCCTAGATCCTTTGCACACAACTAACTACCAAGCCGGGGATTTACTCATCCTGTACTTTTTTCCCCAATAAGGGAGACTATGCCTTCTTCTAGCACTGCTAAATTGGTTTTCTTTCACTATTCTTAAAGCAATGGTTGATACACGCTTATCAAGCCCAGATTAATCTGCTGTGGTATAAAATGAGAACAAGAAGCCTCCAGAAAAAGACAACCCCACAGGACCTAGGACAATCTTTTATGTTTCAACATAGCCAGGCACAGTTCATATCTTAATATGTTCATATCAGTGATAATAATATTATACATTTCCAATTATATTTATTATCTATTACATATTACATATATATAAAACAGCCCTTTGGACAACTCTTTCATTGAAGCCTTATTAATGTTTCATGGACAATTAAATATAGTGTCCAAGCTCAAGGAATTTATAGGTATCTGTGGTAATCTAGACATTTCATGATATAAAAAAATAATTACACTGAAATACATGAAAAGCAATGGGAAAGGAAAACATTCCTAATACCTCAAAGTCCATCACAGTAACACATTTAAGGCTGATCAATAGTGATACCCCAGCCCGACAAAGTAAAATTAAAAAGTCTATGTATAAGCCAAAAAGATGTGATTAAGTAAATCATGTGGTAAGCAGACATTACACAAGGTCATATTAACAAGTCTCTTTCTGAAGATGCCCTGAACTGCAGAGGGTCAGTCTCGGTATTACGTCATATACTAAGATATCTAGTCTAAGACACAGTTTGTTAGCATCTTTCAACCACCTTAAGTATCTACTTAAGGTTTCCTTTTTTTTAGACCATGTTTACAACAGGCTAGCCTACAAAATGCCACTAAATTCATATGCTAGATATGCATGATACTTTTATAACTCTTACTATTGCTCCTTTATCTATGAATCACCACATTCCTCTAAAGGAAGTCCTTCTCTAAAACCATCTTGTCAGCACCTTTTCTCACCTGGATTTCTTTTCCTCCTTATCAGGTGTCATCACATGAACTTGAATTCTGGCCTCAAATTCTAATTGAACCATTAGAATCTATTTTTCTCTCCTCCTCAGCGTAGAGTGTACAAGTGTGACTACCCCCTTTCTATTAAGTCATAGCCCAGAGGGCAGCTTATAATGAATCCAGCAAGGTGTCAAATGTTCCTGTTCTAGCCCTGACAAGTGCTGAATTTCCACCACTTCCTTTTTAAGTTTTCTAGGGAGAAATCAAGTTTCCTTGTTTTTTTGTTTTTTTTTTTAAAGATTTTATTTATTTTATTTTTTCCCCCCAAAGCCCCAGTAGATAGTTGTATGTCATAGCTGCACATCCTTCTAGTTGCTGTATGTGGGACTCGGCCTCAGGATGGACGGAGAAGTGGTGCCTCGATGTGCACCCGGGATCCGAACCTGGGCCACCAGCATTGCAGCGCGCGCACTTAACCACCAAGCCACAGGGCCGGCCCTCAAGTTTCCTTGTAAATACCTATTGCTGGGGAACACATATAAACAAAGCTCAACAGAGCCTGGGAAAGTCAGTGCCCACAAAAAGCAAAACTGCCCTGTTTCTGGCCAACGGGACTGCGGCAGAAACAGCTCCGTGTCCACTAACATCATTCTGCCTTCCACCACAGTAATCAGGTTTTAGCTGGAATGTGGCTCCCAGGCAAGACTACATCTCCCAGCCCCCTTGCAGCTCAACGTGGCCCTCTGATGTATTTAATAAAGCAGTCAACGGAACACAAGCACAAGTGTTCTGTGACATCTCCAGGCCTAGCCCACAACAGCCTGCAAGCCTGAAAACAACCTGCGACGTTCCTTTGACTTTGGAGACGACATGTTGACGATGACAGAGGACCTGGTCAGCTTAGGGCCCTGAATGACTGTGTGGAGCAGAGCTACCGCTGACCTGAAACGTTCACCTCAGAACCATCTCCCGAGAGAAGAAACTGGCTTAAAGAATACAGACGTTTAATCACTGTGTGGGCCTTTGTTTCAGCAACATAGCTTACTCTAAGCAACAGAGATAAAAGAAAATTCATTAAAAAAAAAAAAGGTGTGAGGAAGGAAAAGCATATACATACTTACTGTAAGGTCTAACACTGGGTTCAGATGAAAGACACACGGTACCCCTGGTTTAATAATTCCAAAGAGAAATAAACCTATGGAATAAATACCTGGGCTAGTGCATTCACTCTTGAACATCCTTACCCAAGTCTTCACGCATCACGTCACCTCTCCCATAGGAATTAGAACTCACCACTGGACTGTGCTTCTTCCCGACTTCAGACAGCAACTCATTATCTTAGTCCCAGCCGCCCCACTCTCTTCCTGCTCTCCTTCCCGCCAGGCACTGTGGCCTCATGGTTATGTACAACCCTCACTTGATGAAATCCCTCGACATCCTCACATCCGTCCTCTTGTTTCCCGTTGTACCAGTTCCTGTCAATCCAGCTCCATGTCCAGTAACCATGACTTTGCGATTGGTCCTTATTAATGTACTCACTTATCTCATCCCACTGTACACATGCCGGATTGCCACATCCAGACTCATCTTCTACAACAGCATTTCTATTACTACTGCCAAAATCTTGGCATAGAGTCTACAAACCAGGAGTTGGCAAACTACAGCCTATGAGCCAATTCTGGCCTACTGCCATTTTTGTAAATAAAGTTTACTGGGACACAGTCACGCCCATTCATTTATGTATTGTCTATAACTGTTTTCACACTACAATGCAGAGTTGAGTAGTTGTGACAGAGACAATAGGCTGCAAAGCCTAAAAAGTTTACTATGTAGACCTTTCCAGAAGGAGTTTACCAACATCTGGTATAGACCAACATCATTTCTCATAAAGACGAGGACAGCCATCCTCTCACACCACATTCATTTAGCACCACTACAAGCACCTGTACTAGCAGAATAAGAAACACAAAGATATATATGCCCAAAGATGTAAAAGATACAGTACCTGTTCTTCAGGAATTACAAAGTACAGAGAAAGAGAATATTCGTGGGGGAGGCAGGCATGCTGGTAAGATAGACAAACAAAAAGCCCTAATACCAGGGAGTATGCAAACACCAGATGAGTAGTAAAATGAGTGAACTACAGGCAGACATAGGAAGGAAAGATGATTTCTATCTAGTAATCAGGAAAGCTGTTATTTATGGAAGTGGTGAAGTCAAAGCTGGACTTGGAACCAGGAATACGATGGGTGCAGACAGCAGGAGGTAAACTGTTTTGCTTTACAAAACATTATGTCTACGTATTGGCTGTTCTTTTATTTCTGGTGCCAACCACGGGTAACCATGCTTGGGGCTTCTGGAATATTGCTTCCTGAGATTCTCCAACAGCAGCCGTCTCACACCGTCTCTGCGCTCCTGCTTTAATCTCGGCACTCAGAGACTTCAGGCTGGGCTGGTCCTCCAGCGGACACGATAGGGCACAAGCTAAGCTGCTATAACCAAGACCTAAACACACACGGGACTCAAATCAGAGAGATGTTTGCTTTTCTAGTAGGTAGGCAGGTGGGGCTGAGTAAGATGACATTAAGGTCATCCAGGGATCCAAGCCCCTTCTATCTAGTTGTTCCGCCATCATCCAGAGGGTTGCACGCCTCCCCATGGTCCAGGCTGGCTTACCCCTTCCACATGTGCATTCCAGCCCATGGGAGGGAGAAAAAGGTAGGAGAAATCAGTTTCTTAATTAAGAATGTGAAGTAGAAGTTGCATTTCCATGTCACGTGGGATATCCAGAACTTGGTCTCACGAGGGCAGTAAAGAAGGCTGAAGAATGCAGCATTTAGGAAAGGTCCAATACACCAGAGCCAGAGGGCAGGGTTAGTTATGCCTGAAGACACAGGCTAGGGAGTCATAGGATTTCATGAATCTTCAACACAATCCATCCCCAATTTAATTTTCTCATGCAGCGTTTCCCGAGTCGTATTCTGTGGACCACTATTCTGGGAGAAGTTATTAGGAAAGCTGTGGAATAAAACAGGTCTGCAACCAACCTCTATCCCACTCTCAGATAGTCTCAACGCCCATTCACAAAATAAAGGTCTCACAAATTTGTAGCAAAGGAGCTCATTTAACTTGGTATGACTTGGGCCAGAATTCTTCAAATTTATAAGAACAGAGAATTTGTTCTTCTAGAACATCTATTAACATCCTAGGAAACAATGTTCTGCAGGATATCAGTTTGCGTCAGAGTTTAATTTAATAAACATAATTCCTACAAGATTCTAATATGACGTCTAAAACTCTAACCTGAGCCACATCAAGGACCATGCCTCACAGGGATACTTCCCGCCGCCTGATCAGAGTGCTCACTAGACCCCCTAAACCCTTTCAGACCCCACTCTGCTCGTGCCCTTTCTTCCCACCCCAAATACTATATGTCTGCTAGACCCTCAGCCTGCTCAGAGCTTAGCCGAAATCTCATCTCTTCAGTCTCTAATGATGTTCCTTCTCTGAATTCTTTTAGTATTTATTGTCTCTGGTATTTATTTGTTCCTCATGAGCCAAGTGGTGAAAGAACACATCTCTCTTTTACGTGTAGGTACACCTTGTCTTCCACATAACTTTTAAGGATCTCTTGTGGGAGCTTTCAGACTTAGCATGAGCCACCCAAACTCCTCCACTGAGATCTCAGGGCTTAGAAAAAAGGCAAAACCCACTCTCGGGGCAAGGGGAATATGGGCAATCAAAATATGACAGACCAGGACTTGGCCGTGAAAGACTGAGAGCTGACAAGTGGTAAACACACCTCAGAGCAGACCAGCCTAACCAGGATGGGGGAAATGGAAGCCAACCTGTGGCTACAACATTCGTAGGAATCCAGCCAGAACCAGCTCCTGGAGTCGGTAAAGGGGGAGCATCAGAAGCAGCTACAGAGGCTCCGTAGCAGCTGGAACCCCTGTGACCATCCTGTTCATCCACCCTGCCCCAAAAGGCCAGAAATACTGGGACAAAGGCCACAGTCCCTGCACCAACCTTCCAGATTTATAAAAAGTCCCTATTCATATCAAAGACCTCAGATTCTACGCTGCACAAGTAAAACGGATGAATGACAACCACTGTACAGGGTTATGGATCCAGCATCTGAACAGATTTAGCTATGCACCCTGTGGGGCCTCCCGAGACCAGCTCGCAGCACTTGGAGAGCAACGGATGACGATCCTACTGCTGGCAACTCCAGCTCCACAGGAGAGAACGCCCGCTTCCGGAATGGCAATGAGGCCGTTACAGGAAAGGATCTGCATGTTTCCTAATGTCAAAATTCATATTCCTTTTGTGGGGTTTATTTTCCAAAAAGTTAATTTTATACTTTGCCCAGGAGCTGTATCTTATGAACATTTTCATAATCGATTTTTAAATTAATGTTTTAAATTATTTAAGTTTTAACGATTAAGCTTTTAGTACTAACACTAATCATTTTTGGCAATCACAAAACAGCACTTCACAAATCTAAAAACAACATGATCTAATACTCCGAGAATGCCATTTTAGAAGAGTCCTTGTCTACAGAGATAAGTGCTGCCTTTCCCACATGTGAAGAGCCATCCTAAATCAACACCACACTGTACAACAGCCAAGAAAATACTTATACACTAGGCTGTCCTTACAGAAGTTATGTTTCATTAAATTATGTTAATTTATATCCTTTAAAAATCCTGATGTGAAAGTGTATCTGAAATAAAGCAATTAACCAAACTATGACTTTTGACAATTGCTTTCTTTTAATAGAAAGTATAATACATATAAGATTATTTTGGTTAATTTTTTAAAAACTTCAATTATTCCAGGCTCATATCACAAAAAGTAGGTAAGAATGCTTCAGGGGTTCCCCGGCTAGATTAAGTGGAAAGGAGTAAATGGAGCAGGTAAGGCCTGAGGCGGGCACATCATTAAGGAGCTCTATATAACATCTGGTTCTTTATCACCCATCCATTCATTCATTCCTCTACCCAACAAGCATTTATTATGCACCTACTGTGGCAGGGCAGAGCCAATCAGAAAAGAGGAGAAATAGTTCTGACCTCAAAGTGCTGAGAGAATCCAGGTGGGAAAGTCACGTGAGCACAGCGAACCACAACGCAGGGGAGAAGGAAGGAAGTGCTGTAGGCACCGTGGGGCGAAAAGAAAGCGTCATGACTTCTGCTGGCAGAGACCTCATCACAACCGGGGTGGATGGGTACTGGAACTCAGGAGGGCGAAGAAGGGAGGGCGATGGGAGGGAGACAGTGCTGCCTGGGGAACACCATAAACATGGAGGGATACATGACAAGCCCAGAGAGGGGGTCCTAGTCCAGCAGGCGGGACCGCAGGGGCGTACGGCACACAGCTGGAACAGAAAGTGGGACTGGGGGGAGGAGGCCAGAGCATGGCTCCTGGATCAACTGCAGCTAATGTTCTGAAGCTTGCTTACCTTGGTATCACTAATAACAAACCCATAAAAGGGTATTTACAAGGTCAAAAGAAACCATACTTTCTCCTGAAAAGAGAAAACTGCTTTATTATACATGATCTGAAATATTCCCTAAGCAGAGTTGCAGAAATGAGTTATCAGACTATAAACTGTCACAACAAACATCCTCTGGCAAGTCTTAGAGAGCAAGTGCTATGTTGATCTGTTTGCAAAACATTCTCTAAAACAAATGCTTTTTCAGGTTTATGGTCACATTACTGTCAGTCTCTCTAATAAAAATGCACGCTTGTGTTCCAGCTGTATTACCGGTGGAAAGAGCAGCTATTCATCTCCTTTTAAAACCCCCTCTTCAAATATCCCACTCAGCCTACCAGGGAAAGTCATACAGCAAAACCAAACACAGTGTTTAACAAAAGAGAGAGAGAGAGACAGAGACAGAGACAGACACACACACACACACACACACAGTCATAAAAAACAAAGAGGATCTGTCAAAAAGAATGACACCTTCTTCCTTCCTCTAGCCAGGTTCAGGGCATTTATTATTTACTAAGAGGTTGAAAATAAGCTAATTCATCTTTAGGTCCCAGAAATGTGATCTGAGCAACATATTATAAAAACACTCCCACTACAACAAAATAACTGTGAGTTCCCAGTGGAGGTGAATTTAACAGGATTACCACCTGGGTCCATGGCAGTTTTACAAACCAAACCACCTACTCAATCTAGTAAACAGCGTTAAGAGCCTCAGGTAGGACTCATCCTCGTGGGGTGTCCCTTCCCTCGAAGACTTTTTCCTCCGGAAAGGTTGCCACAATAAAGCTTTGAGCACCATCAGTTTCTTGATCTGAGGGCCGACGTCTTACGTCCCTTCTCGTTTCTGCTCACAGGCTATAGGAATTTCAACTCCAGCTCCATCTCTCGCTCTCCTTTCACTGCTACCTACTTCCCGTCCTCAGCTCTGTTCAGAGGAAGTCTCTTCAACTGACTCTGTTGACAGCGCAGATTTCATACATCATTTCTCACCAATACTGTGAACCCTAGATGGAAATCTAATTATCCCCTAAGAGAGCTGTCAGACAAACGAGCCTGGACTGCAGTGCTTCTATACCCTTTACGGTCAACCTGTATGGGAGGAAAACACGACGTAAAATCAAATAACACCATTATGAGTTAATGAAATAGGAAACTTGCAGAATAAAGAGACTGACAAGTAGTTGAGCCAAACTATATCTCAACTCAGGTGAGGCTAGCGGAGGCAGCAAGGAGGGAGGAAGACTGAGGACAGGTGAGGGTAGGAAGAAGCAAAGGGGAGGAGAGAAAACCACTCCAGTGCACCCACATTTCTTTGTCAGTTCCACGTGTCAGTTACACTCAATTAAAAAAAAGCGAGAGAACCATAGCATCAAAATTAGATTTTTACAGCAACTCAATTCACTGCAATCAATATTTATTGAGCACTTTCTATGGGTGAACCACCAAGGAGACTGAGTGAGCAAGAAAGAGACTGGTTTGCCACATTTCCACAATTAACTACTCAGAATGTTTGTTCAGGCACCAAAGAGCTGATTTTTAAAATTTCTTAAAACCTTATTTATGCCTCACTTTTTCCCATTAATAGATGATTAAAGAAAAATGGGTGATGATATGAATGGAGGAAAAAATGAAAACAGAGCAGATGAGACCATGAGTGCAGGAGGTACATAAAATGCATGTCACAAGGTCTTTCACATTTGTTAGGAAGTGGGTCGAAAACCTGACCCTAAGCTTCCTGGCAGCCAGTGCACAGAGAACACCACTGGCTATCCACTTCACCGGGCATACAATAAACCCGCATCCACTCGGGAGGAGCCCAAGTCTAACACTACCATGTTTCCGAGGGCTGTTTCTTACAAGGTATGCCAAGCGGGAAAATGCAGTAAAAATGTATTGGGGGCGGGGGTGTGTCCCACACGACACAGTCTAAACACAACCCAGAGAGCAGAGAGCTGGTATTTGTTTAAAAAAATGGGAAAATTAATACTGTGGTAAATTAAATGAGCTCAAAAAAGAAGATACTTCTAGAATATGGTTGAGATAATGCTGTTTTGTTTATTATCTGCTGGTTTACAGCCTGTAGGTTAGCTCAAGACATCTACGATATAACAGTCATAGTGTTCTAATGCTGGACACTCTTGAATAAGCAACATTTCACAGATGAAAAAGCTGGTAATGACAGAATGAAGAATTAGAGCCAGACTTAATCTATTCTATTCTGACATGCTCGTGCCATCAAATAAGTTTTCATTTCTTTTTAAAGGGAAAACCGATATTATAACGACTAGGTAAACCTGCCACTCTACCCCTGCCTAAGATCAGAGGATTTTTCAACCATTAAGACAACCACCCTGACACTGACGATATTTTACTCCATAGTATATTTACATCCCCTGGTGAATAACAAAACGGCAATTTTAAAGATGGAAAGGGCTTTTGAGACCAATTAGACAAGTCTCCTTGTTTTGAAAAGCGGTAAAACAAGCCCAAATAGACTGAATGACTGGCTAAGTTCAGGGAGTGGAGGCAGGGCCAGGTCCCACTCACACGCCCCACCCGGCCCTACCACCAGCTGACTTAGCCGCTCACAAACACGTAGTTTCTATAGCTAGTACATCAACGAATATTCAGCCTCAGGTTTTCTACCTTAGTTTCATAGGGACCTCATTCAACAAATATTTATCTGCCAAGGTACAAAATGATTTCCTAGCCTAGAGTTTGCTGTAAAACAGCACTAATACAATTTTTTTTTAAATCTAAAAAAAAACAAAACGAAAAACCCAGCACTAATACCTAAGTGCTGGGCAAGTGCTAATGTTTAATATTTAATAGACTGGTCTAGAATTACTCTGAGACCAAAGCATGAACGTCTTTTCTATAGTGTAAGTACCATCACCAACACACAAGCAGCCACTCCCCTCAGGAGAGAGCTCTGACACCAGCCTTACAGAACACAGCTCGCCAATGACAAACACCAGGGGCAGAACTGTAGGGAGGTGTCAAACAAGAATGACATGCAGATTATAGTCACAAGACGAAAACAACAATTTCTAAATTCACATTTTGAGGCAGGATTAATACATGTATATGCTTTGTTTCTAGAAGTCAAAAAAAGCACACTCAATACTTAAAGTTCTCTGCAAAGTACGCTTACTTTTTTCTAAGTTTTAAACACAGCTTATGTAGGGACTCGATGCTGTACTAGGGCCTGAAATCATATCAGGGAGTTTCTCAAACTAAGCAGCAGAAAACCCAAATTAAGAAAGGCACGAGGCACTGGGCCAAGGTTTTCTGTTGAGAGAGAACGCGCCAGGCACCATAATCACTCCAAGCTGCATCCTGGAGAACAGGAAGGCAGGCAGTAGCCACGGATCACCCTGACAACCATGCAGCCACAGGGCTGCAGACAAGCAGAGATGCTGGCACTGGACTGTGACTGTGGACACCAGGCCACGCCTCGGCCCAAGGTCATACAACGTGCTCTTGCTCCTTTATACTCCAGACCACACGTCGTCTTTGAAAACCAGTTCTGCTACACTAAACATACCCATGTTGACAAACTTGCTTCTTCCACCCACAAAACACTGGCAGACAATTACTCACCTACCACATGGAGGATGAGAACTGCCTATTTTTCAAAATTCCTGAATGCTCCTCTAAGGCCCACTCATAATTTCAGAAAAGGCCAAATATAACTGGGAACACTCACTTAAGATACTATTAATGTCAAGTCCTTGCAAGCTAGGATTTTATGAGCTGTCAGGTCGCAAACATCACTGGCTGGTTTTTTTCCTGCTGCTTTCATGGGCTCTAGGGGCCTGAAGGTTTGCAGCAAAAATATATAGAAATAATACTTGTCTTTAGTCACAGGACTTTTCATATCAAGTGGGGCAACCACAAAACAGTGAGACCTTAGAATGAAAACTGTCCCTACAGCCAGTTAATTTGATCTGCAGAAAATGGGTTAGTAGTCCTAGCTAAAACTCCTAAGCAGCCAGGATATTTGTCAGTTTTTTTATGGTACGATTTCAGAGGCATATAAAGAAGCAAACTCACAGGCCTGTCTTTATTCTTTTAGGGGTCTCTTATCAAATAAGCAAAATGGAAGCATTTCCACTTCTCAAGTCCAGCAAATTGACTTAATAGCATGGACAGTCAAGACTTAAAACACAACTCTGCAAATTAGAAACAGTCAAACGTAAGGCTTCTTAAGATGATCACCTAGAGGCAAAGGACTAACTAACCACTGTTCCCCTATGATCAGGCCTAACGAGCCCTACCGTGTAATTTTCTCCTTCTGAAGGAGCACCCACATTCCCACTGGGGCATGCAATGGCAAGACCCTGGAGAGCACCAGATAGGAGAAATGGAGACAGGGCCTTTGAGTTGATGATCAGGGAAAAGCCAGCCAGTCTTGGGATGCATAAAAATTCCACTCAAAATGTTAAATGGATTTAATACAAAACTGAATCAATCACTTATGTTTAAGTGGTGTATGGTGAAGGGGGTTCCTTCACTATTGTATTGGGTTGTTTTACTGTTTGGTGTATCTTTGACTACTCTAATAAAAGTCTAATCTCACAAAGTGGAAAAAGCCTGTCTCTAATTATTCTATTGTCTACCACTTTACATTTAGTCTGCCCCTTTTCCTAGATATTAGTAACAAAATGCCCTTCCTCATTCTCTTTCAAACATTCAGGGAAGGCATCTAAAAAACGCATTTCAACATTTCCTCCATCAGTGCCATCTCTGAAGCCCTGAGACACTCGGAGAGAGTAAAAAACAGGAAGTGAAAGTGACAAGATGATGGCATCGCTTACTTTCTGCTTTTCTTTCAAACTGCACCGCTAAAAGATAAAAAAAAAAAAAATAAGTATTTTTCTCTAACAATCTGAAACTAATCTAATGGGGGGGGGGGGCGCCAAACAAAACTCGGAATCACCACCGGAACCGCACACGCCTGGAAGGCTCTTTCCCAAGGGCCGTCTCTCCTCATCGGGCTCAGGGCAGGGCTCCGGGCTCCCGCCAGGCTCCCCCGCCGAGCCCCCTGCCCATCCCCGGCCCGGCCCCGCCGAGCCCCCTGCCCATCCCCGGCCCGGCCCCGCCGAGCCCCCTGCCCATCCCCGGCCCGCCTCCGCCGAGCAACGGTTCGGCCGGGCCGCGCGCGAGTGCGTCGGGCAGCTGTTACTCACCAGCACACACTCGTGATCCACCCTCTCGGGTCTCGGAACAAAGCGCGAGTTTCCCTCCCTCTTCAAAGGGAGGTGCTCGCGGGTTTCGGGACGGAAATCTCCCTCCGGCGACAGCGCACCCGCGGGCAGCCTCTGCCCGGCTCCATCCTTGCCCACCCCCCGGCCACTTGGGCCGACGGCGCAGCGGCGCGGAGACCACACTCGGACCGCGGTCCGCGCGGAGACCGCCTCCCGGGTCCTCCCGCGCAGCCCGAGGGCCCCGCGCCTGCCCTGCGCCC